TTTGGATGCGGTGGAAATTGACGTTGAGGGTTTATTTTCAAATTCGAGACTGGTTTTTGGGTGAATCTGAATTAGGAATGATGCGATTCTGAAAATTTGTGGGACGTGATGAAGTAATGATTTTTCGGATGGATGCGAACGAAACGTGAAAGGCGTTTCTAGAATTTGATAATTGGAGTGCACATTGGAAGAAATATGTTTGACGGGTTGGGAAAGTTAAAATACCCTCTTAAATATTAACGACGCTTTGGGGTTTGGATGCTGGTAGTTTTAACTTCGTCCTACCTTTCGAACAGCGTAAACATTTACAAGATTCCAGCCCACAGCAAATATTATCCCAGATTTGGAATTATTTTCACGAGAATTATTTCAAAACTCTGTGGCTGCTTTCGATATTCTACAGCTCTCGGACTGAGAGCTCTGTGGTCGAACGAATAGCAGCGTCATCAATCGTTAAAACGCATTTTTTGTGGCACTGAGTTACAGGGTGATTCAGAATAACTGTTACCGATTCCACAAATATGCATTTCTCAATGGTTAAATGGGTATATTTTCAAATATTTTTGTTTTGAAGTGTGTACAAATATCAGCTTATACTGATAGTAGGATTTGAAATTTCATTTGTTTTCAATTTCAAGCAGCTATGGACGTGAAAATGGAGCATGTCATGAATCTGAATAAAATCTGAAACTGAAATTACTTCGAAAGATTGAAACATATATCATCATTATAGAGGTAAAAAGGAACCATGCGTGGAAAATCCGTTCAAAATCAGAGATTAGACGCATCGCCGGGACTCCAAATGCATATTTAAAATAACTTTTTATTCTTAAAACACTACATTGAACTTAATAAACTAGTTACAAAACAAGCAATATATTGTACCGGGTTAGTGACCGGTCTCGACGAGATGGTGAAGCAACACTGGTCGGTCAATCTCCCTCGTTGTAGATCGTCGCCTCATCTAGTAGGTAGCCATCGATCGGTGCTCATATCTCCGGCTCTCATGCAAATGCCCCTAGGAATGAGTTTCTCGAGAGTATCCCCACGCGAATGTATTGCGATCAACGGCTAAGCTGTGGTTGATTCTCCCAGTAGGAATGTGTGTAGTCGGTACAATCAAACTGATAACGAACTGAACCAAGTGTTGCGTCGATCATGCAGTGGTATTCTGAAGCAATTTGCATCTCGCATGCAAACAGTGCTGGAACTAAAACGTGCGTGCCAGCTGTGATTAATTTTCGTGACAAATGTGGCTTGTAATAAATGGCAAAGGGAGAGAGATTTGAATTAAAGTATGCTAAGTTGAAGGTTATACATGTGGAATATAATGATATAATAAAATCAGGCAAGCGTTCAATCGTTCTGACCATTTTTCAAAGTGACAGTTATTCCAAATCACCCTGTAGTGAAAGATCGATTTCCGCTTGATAGTTTCAAAAATATAAATTTTACTATTTGTGTTCTGGGTATTAAGTGTGATCCCTTATTAACTGTTAGTAGAGTCGGTGTATAATGAGTCACGCCAAGAGTGAAGCCAAATCTACCTATTGAACTGTCAAACCAGCTACCTATCGTGCAAAGCAAACAAGCATTTTGGTCCACGAAAGGTATTGAAATTAAATATAAAATATAATCGATGAAATGATCTAAAAACGCAGTGATAATTACATTTGTCATGCGACACGTTTTGTTATGATCAGTAATGAGAATTTCTACTTTTTAATTATTTTTTTTAAATTTAATAATTTGAAAAAATCACTGATATAATGATTTACTACAGCGGCTAATTTTTTTCTCGCTAGAAGTCATTTAAATTTGATGCAGAAGTCCTCTGTTTCCAAGTGAAAAGAAAGGGAATCTTTCGAAAACCGTGATGCGAGTTCAACTGTTTTTTCTCTTGGCGTGACTCATTATACAACAACTCTAACTGTAAGGTGGTCAATCTCAGCCAGTGTTGCCAACATTCAAGATTAAACTGATTTCTTCCAGTTTTTTTTGGCATATCAAGTCAAACAGCTAACATTTGAAAACTTCTATTTTTCGGGAGTTCATCCAGTTTTATCCAGTTTTTCATTACTATTAACTAAATATATTTGGAAATATGATTAACCAGTACATAAGGATTAAGGTGCTGACGCTTTGAATTTTTATATTGGAATTTAAATTTGGAAATGCAATATTAATTCACATACCTGCAAAATGCGTGGCAAATGCTGCAAATGCAGTCTGAGCTGTAAACGAGCTCTGAGCACGGCAAAAGTACGAATTTTGCAGTTTGGTATTATGAAAGTTATCATAAATGTATGGCAAAGTTAACCTAACTGATAACAATACGTTTCTTCTTCTTCTTCTTCTTCTTCCTCGCATTGCAATCTTATTGCGTATGGCATATTAGCTTATTGCGTGCTCTCAACTTAGTGTTCTAGATGCACTTCCACAGTTATTAATTGAGAGCTTTCGATGCCTGTACCATTTTTGCATTGGTATAATTGTGTGGCAAGTCCAATCATACTTCTATGCCCAAGGAAGTCGAAACATTTTCCAACCCGAAAAATTCCTAGACCGGACCGGGAATTGAACCCAGCCACCTCCAGCATGGTCTTGCTTTGTAGCTGCGCCTTTACCGACTGAGCTAAGGGAGGCCCCAACAATACGTTTCAGAACATTGGAACCATCGTGCCGTCGCTATTAGTGATGTATCTCTGTTATTTTTCTTTAATCTTTATTCATTATTCTTAATTGATTGCATCCGATCTTCAAATAATCTTAATGATATTTACTAAAAACTATTTTAAACCACAGTAACACAATTATGAAGTAATGAAATTGGGTTATAACAAATTTGGCTATCTTGATTGAGACTCCCACAACGAAACAGTTTCTACGAATTTGCGGAAGTATAATCCATGCGGTGGCCAAATTGATTCGTGATCTGCTGCATTTTTGTATTCTACGGCCATTGTTGAACCGTCCCTGCAATGCACTATCAATTTTTTTTTTTTAATATCAGAAACATTATTCTTTATCCCTAGAGAATCAACAACCATCTCTAGAATGTCATTTTTGGTGGCGGTATTTTTAATTTTTGGTGAAAATCAACCAGCTTTTTTGAGAACATGCCGACAAGCTACAGGTTTCGATACATGCTTAATTCGTATAGATTGATTCGAAAAGGACTGAGCAATGGGTGCCGAGTTCACAGAAAGTTCTCGAGAAGAGTTCATGTCCACAAAATTTTGAATAATAGAATACCTATTACAGAATAGAATGTGTATAGAGTGTTCTTCCCAAGCAACACACATGTTCTTTAACAGTTTATATAACCTTTGTATGACTGGTTTTGGTAGTAGGGGAAATGACGGCTTCGGCATGCCAGACTATTTTCGGCAACCCAAATTGAAACACTATTTTCACTGGTTTTTCTTACGAAAACACTTCGCTGAATGCATGCAAACGATTCTTTATGCTTTCAGCTTCAATTTGACTATATTTTTACCACTGAGAAAAAGTAATCTAGCAAGGTTTTCTTGAAATGAAACACACGCACTACAAATTGTAGCTGATTTCTAATTGCCGATAATAGAACAGCAGATTTACATGCAGTTCAAATGGAACGGTTGCCGAAGAAAAACTGGTTGCCAACAATACTCGCTCTCACTAGAGAAGATTAGAGCTTTGTAAGAGCGTTTCAAAACAGTTTTTGACAATTCTTTCGACTGAAATTGTTAGAGCAGCTGGCAGCAAAAGATTGTAAACAAACCAATACTGCATATGTGTGCGTTCCTTAGAGAAAAAGGCTATAGAAAGAAGGTCGCTGCTTAGGTTGCCGAGAATACGTAAATTCCCCTATATCAGTTTACTCAACATAATTTTATAAATTTGTGTTACATGGGTTGTTTCTTGAGCTCAGCAATTTCCTCATTCGTGTTTATTTGAGCTATTATTTGAAATTATCAGGTCTTCCCAACATTGCCAGCAGAATAAGAGCTTAGTTAGGTTAAACTATGCTTATTTACTTTGACTATATGTTTTAGTATTACTTCTGCGTGAAGTCAACGATTTAGATAGTTGAAGATGCTAATTTCAAATAATTAGTCTTAGTGGTAATTTTTATACGATAGATGGAGGAGATGAAAGTCTAGAGTTGATAGTTCCGTTGGAGTACGGCAGTGTGAAAATTGTATATAGATAGTAGATAGCGAGCTAGGACAACTTTTAAGGAAGGTACAAATCGGTTTTTTTCATCTCTCTTTACCAAACTCCCCCTTTGGAGAGGGACGGTGAGGGGTGTGTGTGTGTGTGTGTGTGTGTGTGTGTGTGTGTGTGTGTGTGTGTGTGTGTGTGTGTGTGTGTGTGTGTGTGTGTGTGTGTGTGTGTGTGTGTGTGTGTGTGTGTGTGTGTGTGTGTGTGTGTGTGTGTGTGTGTGTCCCTCTACTATCTCTGCTTTTAATGGAAAACAAAACGTAACTCATTGGTTTGAACTTTCAATTTGGTTCCCACCACACAAATGGAAAAACATCAACTTTTCAAATAAACTTCTTCAACATCTCTGAATATATAGGGGTATAACTCACTAACAACAAAAGGACATTGGCTACCAAAATACTACATTTAAGTGAATGGTCTAATTAGTCAATAGACCAGTCCCATTAGCAGATGTTTACTTCCTTTGCCTAAAACAAACAGAGCCATAATTCATCTACGGTCACACTCTCTCTGCTTCTGACGGTACTCCTTCCTGTGGGATATTTTATTTTCCACATAATCTGACATCCCCAAAATAAACCAAGACACACACAGCTGAGTCAGTGCCACCCCGGGCGGGCATCACAACCACTTTCATCCAAGCAAAGCTAACCCAGTGAATTTTCTATTTTCATTTCATATTCTATCTGCAATCCCGTGCTTCCATAACGATGATTATGGCGAAATGGCGATTTCTCACCCCCGGAAACCGGACGCCCTGAATTACGCCGTTCGCGCTCGTCGATCAACAGGTATTCGTCCTGCTTGCAGCTGTCGCCGTTGGCGTCCATTCGTTGCCAGTGGATGTGGTTGCCGTTAAGGTAAGTTGAAGCAGTTTCTTCCCGGTTGCAATGGAAAAGGACAAGGCACCGGCAGTAGTTCTCTCATTAACGACTGAGCACTACCTGGCAGAGTTTAATTAATTTTCATTCAGCCCGCCCTGAACAGGAATTTGCGGTGTGTTCAAAGTTCTAAAATTCAATCACGAACGAGGATGCTTTAATTTTCACCAAAGGAAACACCGGAGTCTTGTCTTTGCCTTTGGGAGGAATTTCTGCTTTATTTAGTCAATTTTACATGAAAGTTGCCCTTCTCTTTCCGCAGACCGAGGAATACGACGCTCATCCCCAGTATAGCTACTCGTACGGCGTTAACGATGCCGTCACCGGAGACAACAAAGAACAGCACGAGACCCGAGATGGCGATGTTGTAACTGGCCAGGTATGATTCTGGTTTCATAAGCCACGGGCAGACCATCTAGGGTGACGGGTGAAGACCCGTAATTAGAATTTCACCTGTAATGATTTTATAGATGACTTACGAATATGATCGAAACAATCAAAATTTTTCCGTAATCTCAAGTTTGCGGTATTTTTTTTGCGAATAAGTCACCCTAACACACCACCAGGAAATCTATCGCGAGCCTAAGGAAGAAACTGTGGCAAGGCTTCTAGTCAACTGAACGCTTCACTTTGTTCACACACATGTGCAGTTTATTATAAAGTTTTTAGCCATCCTTAGAGAAACTTTCCTCAAGCCGTTTTATGCGTATATATATATCAAGCGGAACAACGCATTAGGTCCTAAATAACATTGATCGATTCTCTTCATTTACTTTCTCCTTTGTTAATAACTTAGTAACTGAACCGTTTCTTGTCGTGTTTGTCGTATAAAATGCTAGATAATAGCTCTGTTCCATCCTGCTGTGTGCTGAAATTTATTGGGAATGTCTCAATATGGCCATCAGGATGCAAAAAGAAAGTCGACGAAGAGAATCTGTCAATGTTACTTAGGACCTAATGCATTGTTCAACTTGGTGTGGTTTGGCTAGTTGGAAAAACCTTTTGTCTGTATGAGGTGTTTCCGTTTCCTATTAGCAACCATGCGTAAGAAGCAAAAAGCTAGTCTGATCCAGATTCCGGGTTCGCTGTGTGGTCTGTCTAGGTGGGCTTGACTTGTCGTAGTTTAACCAGAATTTATTGATTTATTGCAGAGCTCCTCAAGCTATGGGTCGCAACCCACCCGAGTAAAGCATGTGATCAAATTAATCATCAACTTAAATGCAAAATTCACCAAAGACACGGCAAATCCTCGGATGATCAAAACAAACTCCCCCTTAGAATTTAGCATCAGGAATTTCCCACAAAACCAATCCCACGCGAAACACAATTAGGCCATTGAAAAAGCTCCGCATTCAAAGCTTCTTCGTAAAAATGGAAAATGTTCATGAAAATACAAATCTTCATTAGTGTGAAACACAGATTGATCTTTGTGCTCTTCAAAACTGACCTACCTACCTACCTTAGCTCCCTCAAAAGCATTCGGCACTTTCAAAGAAACCCCATTTGCCACATCCATCCTGTGCTAACGCTGGAAGCTCAGCTGCACCCACCGAGAGTGTAGAACACTTCGGGGCAATTGAAAATGTGAACAAACCAGCACTCCCCATGGAAGCCGTATCCATTCGAGAGTTGCTATGGCTGTGTGATTAAAGTTGAGTTTTTGCCACCCACCAGTTCTGTCTTTCTCTTTATTTCCGCCGCAACACGCATCTGAGAACTATGTAGTCTACAGGATCAGCTCCGTCCCGTAGGATGGTGCTGTTATCCCGGAGCGTGATATAAAACAAACAAAGATTACCTTGATGTGGTCGTAATTAGTTTTACGATTGTTCGGAACAGCTGCGTTCGGTGAAGAGTTTAACCAGAGATGTCCGTTTTGAATTAATCAAAATGTTTTATCTCTCCCGCAGTACTCCCTGGTTGAACCCGACGGCACTCGCCGCACCGTGGACTACACGGCTGATCCCGTCAATGGATTCAACGCCGTCGTCAGCAAGTCCGGAGAACCTACCGTCGTGAAATCCGTTGCCTATGCCCATGCCCCAACTGTTCACCTTGCCCATGCCCCAGCTGTTCACCTAGCCCACGCCCCGATTGCCTACCATAGTCCAGCCGTGGCTTACCATGCAGCCCCGACCGTCACGGTGTCTCAAGCACCAACCATCACCGTTTCCCATGCCCCAGCTCTAACCTATCACAGCCAACCCACGACTCTGGTGCACCACGCACCCCTGCAGCTGCACCATGAAGTCCATGAACTGCACCACCAACCCCTGCTGGCCCACAGCCTGTACCATCGCTAAGTGCGGAGGACGGAATTGTTTCATATCGCAGAGTGCACCGAACGAACCCCCTGCCATTCTATCTCGGACCGTACGGCGATGAAATGAACTTGAATTCGGATTGGACCCCCCCCCCCTCAGATAACGGCGGCGCAACACTCGTAGGGTTTACGCGATGACTCAAACTTGTTCTGTTCTGTAGTTACACATACACTGGTTGCAACATGAGATGAGATTATCGAATAAAGTATTGTTTTTTTTTATTATACAATTACTAATTAGTAATGTAAGGACGTAAACACAGTTGTTGTTGTTTTTTAGAACTGCTATCCGAAAAGCATCCTACAGTTTAATTTGCTGTTTCATGCAGACATAATTCTGGGAATGTTGATTTGAAGAGTTTTGGTGAGTTATTCATTTGGACTAAGTGACTGCAGTTTCGAACCCCTTCGGATACGGTTGTTATTTGAGTTTGCTCTCTGTTTTGTGCGTGCGTTTGCTTTCATAGTTAACGGCTGGATTTGCCGGATTAGAGCTGGCACTCTGCCTCCCGGACGGTTATACGTGTGTGGTTGGTGGTTTTCTCGCTTTCTGGGAAGTTTTAGAATCGAGAAAGATAACGTGATTCATCATGTTTACAAGCATCAGAAGATATGTCGCTATCTGCGTTGATTGATTCATTGTCCCGGACCAGAAATTTTTGGGTTCGCGAGCGATAATTTTTAATTTCAGTTTATTTACGCGCTGTGTGTGAAAATGTGTAAGTATGCATGTGATTTTCATGTCCTCCCGGGAGGCCGGTTCACCGTGTTTGGATGTCGCGCTTTCGGCGTGTAGATCTATCGAGAGTCTCGTCACCGTGTGCGAGTTTGAACATGGTCTGGTTGGCAAATTAGCCGAGGAAGTGCTGATAACCCAAGTAACAAATCTAGAGCTGCTTGGCTATATTCAAAATTTATAAAGGTTTTATTGCAGCTGCAACCATTACCTACAGCTTTATCACGGTCATATACAATGCAAGTCATGAAACATTCTTATAGCTATCTACAAAACCCCTATAAAGCTAATTAAAAAAACCAACTGATGCTTATGCTATTTTCACTTATGAAAGGTTTTATGCTTGCTTTGAAGTATAAAAAAAAGTAATATGAATTGCCCTTATAAAACCAAAAAATATATCCTTTCGTTGCTTTATAAGTAAGCGCAATAAAACTAGTTGGCCATGAAACAGTTATTTTAAAACAATTATAAGCATTCAGTTGCAACTTGTCAGAAATGTAAATAGGTGGTTTATTTTTAGAACATAGAAAAGAATCACAACTTTCCGGTACTTCCAAGCGGAGCGCAAAGAAAATCAACAAAATTGTTAGCATGAAAACATTTCGTGTATACGTATACGCGACGTAGTGTGCGTAAGAAAAACGTCAGCAATCTCCATGATTCTTCCGTTCTCGCTCGCATATACATGGGGTGACACGGTCTTGGTCGAAATACATGGAATGGTAACAGTCCTAGGGCAAAAAGGTTGAAATGACGCATAACTTTTCATAATGTACCATTCAAAACTTTTCTAAATGTTAGTAAAATTCATCGGTTGCACCCGTAGAATAGGAATATACATTTGCCCTCAAATAAAAAAAAAATGAATTCAAGCTGAACATTGCATTAGGTCCTAAGTAATATTGACAGATTCGCTTCGTCAACTTTCTCTTTGCATCCTCACGGTCATGTAAAGACATTCCCAGGTATTTTCAGCACATAAATCGATAAAAGAAGCTTTTATCTAGCATCCAATACGACATCAAGAAACGGTTCTGTGAATGAGTTATTAACGGCTGTAGGCTGTGAAGTTTTAACGTATTAAGAAAAGTTGTTTATTTTATCAAGATAACCAACTTTGAAAAAGTCTTGAAGTCTTCGAAACACAAATTCAATGCATTAAAAAAAGTTATAGAAAAAATCATGTTCCACTAAAATGAAGAAATCTAAAAAAAAATCACCAAAATAAACCTCTCTCAAATTTTGATATTTTGTTAATCGAGTATTGCTTAATTTTTGCTGAAAATGTCAGGTTGCGATTTTTTGCGCTTAGGGAGATATTAATGTTCAAAAATTGTATTTTTTTCTCGTTTTTTCAACAATATCTTTGAAATTTGAAGCTTACTCCAGTATGTTTCTTCACAAGAGCTATTTATTTAATGTATTTGCATAAGAGAAAAATATAACATTATAAAGCTGTAAGCAAAAAAAACGAAACAGAAAAAAACCATATTTTCGACATTTTTTTTAACTCCATATAACTTGGAACCAGTAGACAGTGGAAATTTAACGTCTTTGAAAGAGCTGTTCATTTTGTCAAGATAAACAACTTTGCCTTAGACATAAAATCTCCAAAACGACAGAGAAAGAAGTTAGATTGTGGCACTATCTTTGCGGAAGAGTTTTGAACTATTTGTTTATGTCAATAGATGGTCCTTATTATGACGAGAAATTTTGCCCAAGATACCAAGTCTCGGAAATGCTCCGTTTCGGAGTTATTAATTTTGCTCCGCTAGGTTGCATTCCTGACCCAGTGTGCAATGTAAGCATTAGACATTTTAAGAAATTGCGCTTGGTGTTTTTCTTGCCTGCTGTCCTCTGTCGCCATATTGTCATTATGAAAATGCCATTAGCCTTGGAATAAAATCCAAGAAATTTCAATAAAATAATGGCTAAATAAGAGATCCGAAATGATTTCCAGTGTGCATTGGTATGAATTTATGTATTGAGATCTATTTTCTGTAAAATTAAGGTGATTCCATCAAATTCATTTGATTTTTGAAACAATCTTTTTTGTTAACTTGAATTATTTTGGAGGCGCATTTATTTAACGCTCATATTATCTCAATATACACGATGACATTTCAAGCGCATATGTTTTGGAACTTCTAAAAAGTAATATTTTTTCTTTAAGATTTTCACTAATGTCGCCATGAAACAAAATTGATTGCATTGTGATCTTGACACCAACACTCAAACCTATGTTTACCGCTAAAGATTTCCATTTGGAAAAAAAGTTTCAGCAGAACAGAACAATAACAAGCTAATTCATGGCGGTTGCTTTGATGCAATAAAAATTAAATTGGCTTTATAACTGATTTTCACCAAAGCGTCATAAAACTGCTTGGAAACAATATTACTCTTATAGAGGCTATGAGAACCTTTTATAGAGTATGAGGCTTCCTGACAAAAGGTTTTAAGACAGCTTTATTGTAATTCTCAAACATGCTTTATAAACCTTATCAAGGGTGGTCCACTAAGCTGTATGACGATCTTATAGCGGTTATCAAAAGGTTGTGCTGGAGCTATTAATTTTATTGGCGGTTTTATGAAATTGATCTCAATAACCACTAATAGAGTGCAATAAAACAAGAAATGTTACTTGGGAATGTGTCCATCGCGAGTTTTGGTGGTGATTCGGTGGCCGACGTTGTGATATATAGTTTTTCAAACAGTGAAAGATGGCGGACATGAAGCTCCAGGGGATGCCGGACAAACTTGTCGTATCCTAGACTAATTGTGAGTTCCAAATTCATCGTAAGCGCAGTCGTAGTCACCGTCTTAGTCACCGTAGGCAGTACCATTTGCGTATTTAGAATTGACCATCAACCGCTGAAACTGTAAGAATTTTCGCGTAGCTCTGTTCTTCGTTTATCTGTTTTGTAATGATCTTGTGTTAATTGTATGCCGTTATATTGCATTATACCGCATTTTTCAATATTATATTATATTTAAAAAGGTAACACACATTTCAGGTCACCCAGGACTTAAATAGAATGGGATTAGATGCTCTTATCAACAGCAATTTTTTATAGCGCATCATATGCAGAAGTAGCACAAAGCAACAAAATAATAATTAAATTGTTTAACGTTTGCTTACAATAACCAATGAACAACATGTTAGGTTATTTTTTTCTTTTTAACCTTTGCAGGATTTCCAGTGCATACCATCAGTGTTGATATATATAATAGTATCCTTAAAATATAATGTCTCATGCCCAAATAACCTACATTTTTCGGTCTATCGATTCATTACTTTACAATTATATTTTCAAAACATGCCTAATGTCATTTCATGGCACATTAAACAAAAAGTGTGTGTGTGTGTGTGTATTGGCCCCAATAAAATTAAATGAAGTTGAATTGCAATAAATTAAAATCAAGGTTATTTGTATTTTGTTAAACTTATTATTTTTTTTTTTTTTGCATTTCTGTATATATTTTATAAACATTATATATTGCATGATTCTCTTTTCTTTTAACCTCATTGATGATGGATTTGCATTGTAATGATTTAATCTTTTCAGCTTTCGCTCTGGTTGAATCTATTGGTTTGATTTGTTCAAATTAATTTTCCGCTCTTTGATGATGGATCTTTGGATTTATACTATAATGATGATTTTTTTTTCAGCTTTCGTAGAGGATTTCTCGGCTTCGTACAACACGAATTTTCACGTCAAAATTCCTGCATTCGAACATGGCCGGCGCTGGTATTGCCTTTTAAAAGTATGAGATCACCAGTTTTTATACATTGAGGCTGAATGCTAGTCCCAAGCATCATCTGTTGGTTCTCTGTGTAATAACAGCTGATCTGGCAGTAACGGAGTAGCGGATGCGGGCGGTCAATCATGCTTATGCTCATATTTCATGCCGGTTCTACCAAAGCCCGGACAGGTTCGTCTTGATGTCAAGCAGAACGTCACTATTGAAAATTGCACGAATTTGCAACTGTTGCTATAATAATGAAAATGCAAAAAGCGCTTTCCCTTGCACAAATTTAAAAATCCAATTCACTCCGGTCTCACCGAACGGTGTTTATTCAATCCCCACGTGTGGTGAGTGTTAGTGTTAAGTGGTCATCATCATCATCATCAGCAGCATCAGCAGCAGCAGCGCTTAGGATGCGTGGCGTTGTAGATTGTTCTTCAGTACACAAAGAAATAATGCCCGCAAGCGCAAGCTGCAGCCCACTGAGCGGTCCATTCGCCGAAGAAGGAGGAAGAAGTTGCCCCGCTACTGATCGGATTCCAGTTGCTTGTCATTAACCGCTGTGAGTCACCTATGCCAAACACGTCACCGTTCCAAACAACATACCTCGCCAGCCTTATCTGTGTAAAACACCTTAATATCTCAGCATTACTCAACCATCACGGCAAAACGGTCCTTGGGGACCACCATAAATTTGTTAAAGAGTATTTTCTGGACACTTCTCGCGTTTCCTTTCAAATAGACCAATCTACATTGATCGATTATTCATCGACTCT